AAGATGTTGAGTGAGGGTTTGCCGTTTCAACATCTTCTCATTTATTTCAATATCTCTGAGAGATGCTCCTATCCTACATATTTAGCCCTTAGTTTTTATTACATCCCTAAAAAAAATGCCATTCATTACGAAAAACATGAAGATGTCAGAGCAGATGAAGCAATCCGGGTTCACTGGAGGAATGGACTGATATCCGATCCAAATTGGATAACCTCATGAAGAAAAATGAGTAAGTAAGATTTTGCGTTGAAGGGGAAAATAGATCAATTTATAATTCGCCATCTATTTGGGTCCATTTTATAAAAATTGACCAGATATTGGGTATATTTAGCAGATATTACCGAAAATTACATGAAAACAGGAACACCAGCAAGCGCAAAAAAGCACGTGAATGAAATAGAGTCTAGAACTGCAAATATTCAGGCACAACTGATGAAATTGTTGCATTTGACTTTATCGGCAGCGTCGATATTCCATTTTGTTTTGATTGCGTTCGGTATTATCGGCCACACCGATATCTTTTTGTCATATGGTCAGAGTATTGAAGAATGGCAACGTCCGGCTTGTGATCCACTGCGCTGTGAGGGGAAACGCAATAGAACGATCGTGATTGCGCACCCGATTCGCTCATAGAGAGATTAAGAGGAGACCGGATCGCATGCCCTTGGCTTTCAACTGGGCCGTTGACCCTAGAGTGCAGCTGTGCATATGGGCAGCAACAATGCCCACCTCGTATATTTATGCGTTTGCCTAAATTCGGCACCGATGATGTTGCTGCCCAAAGGTACAGCTGGTAGTTCGCCTCAGTGGTTAACGGCAGGCGTGTTGTGCGTAAATGCACCATTTAAACAAAATTTCAAGAAAATATCATTGGATCATGCCGAAAGAAATAACAGGCATTTTTAAGAAATTAATTGTTTGCTTTATAAAAATTAAATTTTAGAAATTAAGATCAGTTGTGATAGCTATAAGATAAAGCAAATAATTATACGCACCTGTTAAAGTGAAAGAAATGTCCGCTTGCATGATGTTATGAAACGAAGAGTGAAGATATTCTGTAAAATAATAGAAGAAGATAAGAGATATTGAACTTGTTAATAATTATAAGGAAATGCGATCAATTACATGCAAATACTGAAGAGAGAAATGTCCGGGTAAATTTCTATGGATGGGGAGAGGGGGCATGACTATTGAAACGGGCTGATGAAGGCCATTCAGTGGCCAAAATGAGGCAGACCAGAGTAGGTTATCGTATCTGGTAGGGCGGGTACGCTGGGTCCCGATCTGGAGAAATAAAGTGGATCGATAAAGTTTGTTTTTTTTTAATTATATCAGCGTCTCACCTTTGTTGTTTACATTTATTGTTCTCACAGCTGTTTATGTTGTTCATTTGTTAGTAGTTACGGCTGTTTGATGTGTATCGATTTTATGGTTCGTTTTGCGATAGTGTTGTGTAGGTCGCTTTGCTTCAGATGTTGTAACTTGTTGATATCGATTGTGTGTGGACTACACCATCCATACACCACTCCAGCCGGCGCGGCCCAAAGAGAAACTAGCAGTTCCATAACAGAATTCTTTCGAAATGCAAATAATTAAGCTTGTAAGTATTTATATTAAAAAATAACATTGTGCCTTTATATAAATGCAGCAGTTGCCAATTTATTGTTAAAATTCATATTTTTAGAGCTTTTTTAACAACACCTTGTATGGCTGCCATATGTAAAGATGTTAGATGTTGCCAATGTGAACAGTAATTTCATGTCTTCAATAAATTTCATTCTTTCCCCGTAAATGTAGTCAGTGTGAATTTACTCTTAACTAGGAATGATCGTTAGTGTTATTTCAGTGTCAGAGTGACAACTGTGACAGTTCCAAAAAAAATACCAATTATAAATAACAGCGCCTGTTACTCGAAATTTTGGCGCGCCGTTTTTTATTAAAAAAAAAATATATAAAAAAACAAAATAAACTTTAATAATGTTATGCTATATAACAATTTATTTATTTTTTTTATATATTGAAGTATTATTATTATAAAGTTAATAAAGGTTTTCGTTGGCATTTAGGAAAAGCAGCATTTGGACCTTATCGTCAGTTAATCGTGTTCTACGATCTAAAAGGCAAGCTTGAGAAAAGAGGCGCTCACATGGTTTTTGTAAGTGATACCGCATAGTTGCAAGTTCAAAATAACAGCCAAGTACACATCAGTTTCATAGTTCTTAGCTTTGCAGCCAGTGCGAAATAAACAACATGAATACAGGCCAGTGACACAGTACTCACCTCTTCGACGAGTACGAAAGTAACAACCTGAGTACAACCACTAACAACCACTATGCCGTACTAGAAATTTGGGCACCAAAAAATATGTGCATCTGGTCCAACGAGCGAGTAAGATATACATATGATATCTTTTGATCGCTCACACTACAGGAAACTGATTTGGCTTACTCTCTTCCATATTATTTGTGCGATAGAACGGCATCGCTGTTTATTTGTATCTCGCTCGCACTTACTCTCAGTGCTCTCAATGCTCTCTTTATGTCTAGGTACCGTTTAAATCTTTGTGTGTGCATGTGTCCGCACAAGCAAAAATGCCCACAAATTCAATTTTTCTCAAATATCTTCTTTTTTGAATGGACGAGTAATATGAAATAGAGAAAGGGTTTGCCACGACGATGCGAAATGCTTGCATTTTAGCTCGTTATCGTTGGTAAGGGTACCTACGCGTTGGCATATGTGCATTTAAAAGTTTTTGGACTTGCTATTTACGCATACTTGCATATTTTGTATATGAATGAAAGCATTTATGCGCTTGTGTGCCTGTTGGTCCCTGCCTGCCTGTCCGATCCAACTTTGACAATATTTTAGGATTTCTGAATTTCGAGCTCTGCGCACACACACACACAGACAAATGTGTATGAATGGGCAGATCATGGGCGCAAAAGAAAATATCATTATTGGCCCGCGTTTGACGCGTGCCCTTCTTTTTATGATTTACGGTAGGTACCCTTACCAATAATTACGAGCTAAAATGCAAGCATTTCACATCGTCATGGAACAAATTGAATTTGTGGGCATTTTTGCTTGTGCGGACACCTGCACAAACAAACATTAAAACGGTACCTAGACATAAAGAGAGCATTGAGAGCACTGAGAGTAAGTGCGAGCGAGATACAAATAGACAGCGATGCAGTTCTATCGCACAAATCATATGGAAGAGAGTAAGCCAACGGAGTTTCCTTTAGTGTGAGCGATCAAAAGACATCATATGTATGTATATCTTACTCGCTCGTTGGACCAGATGCACATTTTTTTTGGTGCCCAAATTTCTAGTACGGCATGTCCCATCTATATGTTTTTTGGTTAGTGGTACAACCCAGTGACACAGTACTCAGCTCTTCGAAGAGTACGAAAGGAACAACCTGAGTACAGGCCAGTAACACAGTACTCAGCTCTTCGACGAGTACGAAAGTAACAACCTGAGTACAGGCAAGTGACACAGTACTCAGCTCTTCGACGAGTACGAAGGGAACAACCTAAGTACAGGCCAGTAACACAGTACTCAGCTCTTCGACGATGTTACTGTCCGACTTGTGGTTCGGGTTCGCTTCATCGACTTGCCGGCTAGGCAGAGATCAACCAGGGGTGGGTAAGACATCGATAAAGGGAAGAGTAGGTTAACAAAATAATTTATATTTAAACTTGGACTAACGAGTTTCGGTTTCTTTTTGAACACTCTGTCGGACAATCGGAAAACAAGCATACGGTGGACAGCTGTTAAGGTCCACCCTAACGGAGCCCTCCTCACCATGAGTTGGCCATAAGTGCACCTGCCGACTCCCAAATCCTGACGGGCACCCGCCTCACACATTTATCTCACCCACCGTAATTTCTTACTCGAACATTTCACTTTTACTTACACAAAGACATTTAACACTTAACATATTTCACAATTTTTATAATAATTCTTCTTTGTAGGGCAGACGCGAAAACGGCTCGACGACACTAACACCTAGGACGAATAAATTAATTTAAGTTTATCTTAAATGCAGATTATTATTAATTAATCATTGCAAGTCGTGGCCGCCTGCGCGTGGCTGCTACCTATACATAACAGCGCTTTCTTATAATCAATAATAAATAATATAAATAACTATGATACTAATAATTAAATTAATATAAAATTATTATCATTTAATATTAATTATTCGACTGCCATTTTTTCTTTTTAATTCTTTCTTCAATTTGGATGATTTAAAACTATAAAAAAAACCTGAGGTCACCCAAAGGTGGTGGCCAATCCGCTCCTCCCGTATTGTGAGACTTCAGTTATGGCGGCACTAATAAATTTAATTTAATGACTCTAGATCTTTTTTCTTACTTTTTCTCTTCCCAACAACAAAAACCGCTCTTCCTTTCAAAAATATCTAGAGTCAAGCTAAGGAACTGGTGGCTCCGATAATTGCGCACCATTCGAATCTATCGATAGCTTTCCTTCAGCCGGCAATCCAAAAACAGCATATTGTTTGGTGTGGTATTTATATATATATTTTTTTAATCGTATTGCTGCCCGTAACAACGAGTACGAAAGTAGCAACCTGAGTATAGATCTGTTATAAAGACTTCAATTCTACAACAAGTATAATAATAGGCAAGCCGGGGAGACAAGACAGCACCATACAAATTAAAATAACTGTGCAAGTTTTTGAAATGTATAAAATATGCTGAAAAGTATATATTCGTGTTAAGTGTGTACAAAGCTCGCCATCAACATTGATCAAGTCATTTGTCATATCGTCGTAGAAATCTCTTAGTAAAATTTTCGGTGTCAATCTTTTGAGTAAACAACGAATAAAGAGTAGACCCTTGCATTACTATCCGTACATGTCATAGGATGATTTTTGTCGCTGTTACCTTTGAAAGGTGTAACAGCAGTAATTAGTTACTTTTAAATACTTGTTACTTGTAACGGGTTGAGTTAATATCGCTCATCCGCACTATTTACCAATATTGCAAGCTATCGGTGGAAGTCATGGGAGCTGACAACGAAACATCTATGACAACGAAACAGTTCCTCGTATAAAATATACATAATGAGTCCATCCACCAAATAAAGTAAATAGTTCGGAACACATACTTTACGACTTAGCCAATGTTGCCCAATTTATACACCAGACACTGAAAGAAGAAGGAATTTCTTCAGTTCTTTATGTTGGCAGGGTCATGAGAGTGTGTCCTTTTTAAAACGAAACCATTTTACATTGTTGCGACTTGCGGCCAAAACAAGAATTTTGAAGAAATTAGCTTAAAATCTGTAAAAATAAAACCATATCATAATATAAAAGCGAGCAAATGAATTTATTGAAAAAATATTTATATATATATCAAACTAGCGGGTATAACCCGGCCTTGCCCGTGGAACGCATGTTAAACTTGTCGGACGGTAAACAAACAATTTTCATAGAAACATTTTCCGCCAATTTATCAATGTTGCGAGTGGAATTTCCCAAATCGCTGAAACACGTATTCATTATATTCTTATGAAGAGCTTTGAAAATAAGTTTGAAGCAAATCGGACACAACTTAAAACTTCGCACAAAAAATCTTTGAGTCGCATTCCACCCGAAAAAATTTGGATTCTGCGAAAAGTGTGAAACACGTATCAAATGATTTTTCTTATAGATCTTTGGAAACGAATTTGAACACAAAACGTCATCCCCCAAATCGTTGACCTCCATTTCCACCAAGGAGGAACGGATTTTTCGAAAAGTGTTAAACACCCCTCAAATGAATTTGAACAAAGATCTTTGAAAATAAGTTAGAGGCCGATCGGATGGTAAACAAAAAAGTTACATACAAACGTTTTTCGCGATTTTTCCACACTTGCGGGTGGAATTTCCCGAAACCCCGTCTTAACGTGCACCTACATCACATAAGGTAGCTACAGTGAAAATTTCAGCTTCCTAGCTCTTACGGTTTGGGCTGTGCGTTGATCACCAATCAGTCAGTCAGTCAGTCAGTCAGGACAAACAGTTTTATATATAGAGATAATAATAATAAAATAATGATACTAACCCACTTATCCCAGGCGTACCCACCCTTAATAAGACGAATGCCTCTCCCTCATGTTGAACAAATATGCTCTCATGCTCCTCCCCCTTTCAACAAACGATGAGCCGGAAATTCTCTCTTAACGTTAGTATGATGCATGGCATTCTATAAATATAACAATAAATATTAATTCTTAACTCCTCTACTTTTTAACAGTGAATAATTGAAAACGAAAAAATTAGCATACTAGGAACATTTCCGAAGACCATTTCTCCTAACATCTGAAACCACAATAACAATTAGTTATAAATGATTTTATTAATCTATACCCGGAAAATTTTGCCCGACAAGAGTCGGTGTTCACGCATGAGCACGTTACAGCGAGTCTCACTTACACCCTCGGTAAAATTTCATATTGTACCGAAATGAAAGCAGCAGCATAAAAATAGATAACGCACATGTGGTCGATTAAGATTGGAAAGTGACATACGCTACGAAATGTCACGTTAGAAATATAATTAGCAAGGTTAAGAAAAACACCCTAATTAAAAACAATAGTTTATGACCGCTGCTACCGATGGTGCATCGACAGCAGATCTCAAATAAGATACTCTGTTAGTGTATAAGAACTAGGATTCGTAAGAATAAACCGATATCTATCAAGTACTCAATAAATGCACAGTTGTTCAAATATAATTTGCTAATTTGACTTGCTTGTTTTGGTATAGCTGCAAAGACACACCTGAACAAAATTCGCATCATTCAAGCCAAAACCTTGCGCAAAATAACTGGAGACGAATGGTATATTCGCACACGCGACATCGCAAAGGACCTCAGGGTACCAATGGTGGGCGACGTAGTCAACAGGCAAGCAGCGAGCTACTTAACAAATGTTCACAACCATCATAACGTCCTGACAAGGAACCTGCCAAGGAGGCGAAGAAGAAGGCGACTGAAGAGGACCTACCCAACTGACCTAGTCGATCGATATTTATACTGCATTAAATACCTCTGAATATGTTTCTGTATATATGTCTAGTCTGTTAAACTAATTGTAAATCCGTAATTTTCGTTAAGCTAAGTAATTATGTGACTCTGATAAAAGTTGCTTACATAGAGCAACAGGATACCAGATTTCGAAATAAACAAAATGCATTAGAAAAAAAAAACATGTCCGGAAAACTTTTCATTATTATATAAGCACACAGTTTCCACATTTTGGCTAGTTTCAATTTATGTAATGCCGGAAATTGAAAAAGTACGGTGAGCACAGCACGCCCGCCGTTCACCACAAAGGCAAATTCCTTTTCGCTCTGTGCGGCAACGAAATCTGACCCAAATCCTGCACGCGTACACATTCAAATATATCCCCGTAACTGCCGGTATGCCTAAGTAAATCTGACTAAACTGTCGTTTTGAAGGTGGGAGGCACCGCAGATTTTCTTATTGACTGTTTCTCTCATTTCTACGCTTTCTGAGTAATTCTGGTCGGTAACCGTTAGCCCTGCTCCATGCTACCTCAACACATAGAATTCAGAGGATTACGGCTTATTGTAAAATGTATTTTAAATATATTATATTACATGTAAAAAAAGGGTTTTTAATAGCAATAGGGACGTGCTATTCGCAGCTCCTTTTGTAATTCTCGGCTCTAGTATGGTAGTGGTAGCGGATACCCCGAACCCAACACAAAATGCAGCCTGCGAAACGAGCTCTTTTTAGCAGCAATAGAAATAAATTTAAAAAAATCCTTCAATAAAATTTGAGTCCATAACAGACCACGCTGCTTGCCACCGCCTCTACTTGACAGCCATAACATAAGAACATTATTCTCAACGGCTCGTAAATCGCCGTGGGCTTCGGCGCCGGCGAGTCCCTTTCCTCGATTGGGTCCGGGCTGCGGTTGAGCTGGTAGGCTGCGCCGGCTACTGGGGCGGCTCACATTAATCTAATCTAAATTTAGTACAGGGGTTACGTTAGGCGACGGGTATCGCTCTCACCCTTCGCCTACTCGTCATCCATGGGTCCCGGTGTGTCCTCTTCGAGTTTGGTCATCTCTTGGTGAAACGGCTTCAGTTGCGAGATATTGGCCACTCTCTTCTTTCGTTCGTTTCACTAGGCGCACGATGTTGGGGGATATGAACTTGACGACCCGATAGGGGCCGTCAAATTTGGGTGCCACTTTCGCGGCGAAGCCCTCAGCGGCGTTGGACAGTTGGTGCTGCCATAATGGTCCTGCTCCTTCCGCCCCTTATTTATAAGCGCCGTTAACGGCTGCACCTGTGTCGCGAAGTTGGGTACAAAACGCCGGTACTATAAACCCACCCCAAGACACTGCCGCAAGTCCTTACAATTAGTCAGGGCCCTAAGGTTACGTATCGCCTCCTCTTTCTCCGGTTCGGTACGTATCCCTTCTCCACAAATAACATGCCCCAGGTAGACCAACCTTTCCCTGAAGAAGATGCACTTCTTCCTATTCAGCCTGAGATTGGCCGCCCTTAAACGGCGGAATACCTCCGTCAAATTCTCTACGTGTTGCTCTTTTGTCGCCCCTATCACCACGGTATCGTCTACGTAAGCGAACGCATGGGGCTCCATCTCCGGCCCTATTACCGTGGCTCCAAGGCTCGCTGAAAGGTCGCACACGCCGAATGATAACCAAATGGCATCACCCGCCATTGGAAAAGACCTCTTCCGCGGACTGTGAACGCCGTGCATTCCCTACTATTGGCTTCCATCGGTATCTGCCAGTGCTTCAAATCCAGAGTGCAGATGAACCGGGCGTGACGTAACCGCTCAAGGATGTGAATAATCCGAGGGTCAGGATAAGCATCCGGAATGGAATGTGCATTGAGCTGCCGGTAGTCGACGCATTTACGCCACTCGCCAGTCTCCTTCTCATCAGCTCATCCACCTGTTCGTCAATCACCTTCTGCATGTCCGGATTCTTCGGATAATACCTTTGCTTCAGCGGATTGTCATCCTTCAGTCGGATCCGGTGCTCGGCGATATGCGAGACGCCTTGCAGCCCCTCAAAGAGTGCCAGTTCCGACTCCAGGAACTCCCTGAGTTCCGGATCCAGAGGCGCTGGCCACTCTGCCTCTTCGATGCTAGTCTCACCCTGTGCCTCGCCTCCTCCGTGCACCACTCCGTCTCTAGGTGAAGCCCCACGATTGCAACGTTCCGGCGACTGCTCCCGATCCTCTGCGTCCGAGATAATCCTAGCGATGACTCCTAATCCCTCTGTTCTCTGGCACATTTCTGCCGTGCCGCCTACATGACCGGCGTAGACCTACCTCTGCAGCTCTACACGCCGCCTCTTGGGCTCCTCAAGCTTTTGGCTCAATCCCGATTGAGGCTCATCCCTCGCTTCCATTTTCTTGTCCTTTTCCATCGGTTGCCGAGCAGGCACGCCCGTTCTTTGACGCGTGAGGCTTTCTTTCTCCTCTTCCTGACGTTGTTGCCGAGCAGGTGCTCCCTTTTACTGACCTGTTGAGGCCTCCCTTCGGCTCCCTTTTGGTATCCTCCCTATTTTGTTGCCGAGCAGGTGCTCCCCTTTCATGACCTGGGAGGCCTTCATTCGGCTCTTCGCTCGTATCCTTTTCCGCTAGTTACCGAGCAGGCACTCCCGCTTCCTGACGCGTGAGACCTTCACCGTCTCTAAGACCAGCTCTGCCTTGCCGCAGCGTATTGTAGTGCCCATTGCACCCAAGAAATCACAATGCCTTCCCTACTTCGTGTACTTTGTGTACGCAATCTTCACTCATGAAGCTGCGAGTGGCTCCGGTGTCAGGCATCCTGAGGCCGCTAATCTCCACCGATCCGGCCACCTTCCACATTCAGTGGGTGTCCTATTTTCGAATCCCTTGTGTGTCGGCGCCGACCCGATCCTGGCCTGGGCGACGCCGTTGCCCGTTTTCCGCCTCTATGCGGCAACAGCAATCCTGGCTACTTCTGCCCCGGTTCCCACATACCCAACAAATTAAGACGGGTGCATTGGGACATTCCCTGGCAAAGTGCCCCTCCTGCCCGCGCCTATGACACGCTCATCATCTGATGGGCAACCTCCGCATGGGCTACTGCGGGTAAGGCGTGGTTCCTCTTGTCCACAACGGTCGCTCCGGACCCGCTGGGTGTATACAGGAACGGGTTGAGGTGTCCCCCATGGGACTCTACCGTCCTCGCCTATTCTGCTCTACTCGAACTCATGACCACCTGACTAATTGACTGGCTTCCTGAGTTTTCCGCCCTCTGCCTCATAGCTGTCTCGTACTTCACAGCCAGCTGAGTTAGCTGGGATAAGGTGGAGAAATCCTGCCGTCGCACATAAAGCCTGTATTCGGGAGCGGCGATTTCGTATATCCGGTGCAGCTTCGGCGCCGTATCTGTCGTGATGCATTAGAGCCCTCAGCTCTATTAAGAATTCCTTGAATTCTGCGATCCTGCGGGATCGGATTTCGTCCTCAAGCCTTTCGAAGTAGCGCAGAGGCAGGAAGAACTCTAAGAAACCCCTTCTAAACACTGACCATGGCACATCCCTTAGTCCACTGCTCAAGAACCAACGAGCAGCCCTGTCGCAGAACACCTCACTCATTTCCCTAGTCAATCGATCAAGGGCAATACCATATGTGATGGCGCGCTCCTCTAGGTCCTCTAGGAACCCAAGGGGGTCGGAGCGGCCATCATTTCTCATGCCCCACTTCAGAACTTGTTCCGGAACGTTTGTGGCCCAGTATTGTAGGGAACACTACCTGATTCGGCAGGGGACCGTCCTACCTCTACGTTCACCGCGGTTGCTCGGCGGTCTTCGTTTTTACCGAAAGCATGAGCCTCCTCTGCACCCGAGACGGCTAAGCTAGAGATGGGCGCTTGCGAACGTCCGTTCAATTGTGAGCTTCTTAGATCAGGCTCCGCCATCCTGCATGTAGGTGGGTAGCCGCTTAGGCAGCTCCTCCACGCGCCCTTCCTTTTCCATTATTTTATGTCGGAGTCTTTGTCATTTTTTTTCTCTCTTGTTTATCAACTATTTTGTTGTTTGTTTCTTATTGGTTTATTTTTTTATTATAATTTTTATTTTTTTTTTTATTCGTTTTCTCTTTATTTTAATTTTTGATCACTCCACAAAATAAAAAATATAAAAAAAAAACCAACAAAAATGCACTTGATGTTTTTTTTTTGATTTTCCGTTTCCTTTTTTATTTGTTAAACACACCCGTTGTCATTGCCGATGCTGACCGTACTGACGAATTCAGCTTTTCACCGAACGTGAGCTGAATTCGTCCGACTGTACAGGCGCTGCCGCGACGCCTTAACGGCCCTTCGACGCCGACGTCGACTGCGGTGCGCGTTTGTGCACAAGTATTCAAGCGTGGTATTGCTGTCGCCTGTCTGGTGCGCGCGCGCTGTACTTTTACGACCGACCGTTATATTTTTGGCACTCCGCTTTGTGTGCTCGATTTTGCACTCATTTTCGTCGCATAGATCTTACAAGTGTTTATATTATTATTTTTTTTGCCTAGCACAGGGTATGACCAATTTTCGCTAGGGTATGCTCGACTACTTAATGCTCTAGTTTTATACCTTGCCCATATACGAGGTATTATTTTCCCCTTATCCTCTGCTAGGGTACTTACACTCTAGGGTATG